GAAATGGGGGGTGGAAGAAGCTGAGGCTTTTTCTAAGATAAAGGAGTCATTTCTGCAAGTAAGTGTGCTGAAACACTCAGATGAAGGTAAACGGTACTTTATAGAATGCGACGCCTCGGGATATGCTATAGGGGCCTGTCTTTTTCAAGTAGACGATGAGACGAAAAAAAAGCATATCATTTGTTTTGCAAGTCGTATTTTGCAAGGAGCTGAACTTCGTTATACCGTGACAGAAAAAGAAGCAGCTGCAGTGGTGTTTTCACTTAACCGTCATTAGTGACCATAAGGCATTGATATTTTTGATGTCCTGCAGACTGCTAACTGCAAGGTTGTCTCGTTGGATCATGTTCATCCAAGAGTACCAATTCGAAGCTCGTTTTTCCCCAGGTAGGGAAAATATTCTGGCGGATGCGCTTTCCCGCTTCCCAACCAAACCAGAGCCCGGTTCTTCCAATGAAGTCCCAGAGGAGACTATTATATCAATATTTACTTTGAAGAAATCACCACTGGCCGAGCAAATTCTAGTAAATATGTCACGATTAGGAGAGGATCAAAGGAGTGATTTATTCTGTATGAAAATAATTGCCAAATTGGCTAATCCAGAAAATAATTCAAAAACAAAGGTATGGTACGTTGAGTATGAGGACATACTTTTCAGACGTGGTTCGGAAGGTAACCCCAGTTTTAAGATCTGCGTCCCGCAGTTACAAATTAAATGTCTGGTTATTCAAGAACATGAGGAACAAGGTCATTTTGGCTCGGATAAATGTTATCTGCAGCTATCACAGTGGTACTACTGGCCTAGGATGCGCCGTTCTTGTAAAACGCTTCTTGCTCCATGTGACTTATGTCAAAAAGCAAAAATTTCTAAAAATCTCCATGGGGAAATGCATAGTGTTATATCAAGTAAGATTAATGAGATTTTAAGTGTGGATCTCATTGGACCGTTGCCTGGATCTCGGAGTGGCATGACCCAGTTATTTGTGTGTATCGATGCTTTTAGTAAATTCGTTATGTTGTTTGCTCTAAAACGGGCGAATGCTTCTAATCTATTAAAATGTCTGTTTAATAAATGCTTTACTGTAATGGGTAAACCTGCCCGTATTTTATCGGATAACGGAACACAATTTACGTTCGATTTATGGCTGGATACTTTGGAACAAGCAGGCGTGCATGTTCAGCATACATCCCTCTATTATCCTCAGGGTAATCAAGTGGAAAGGGCTAACCGGGAAATTGTGAGGTTACTAAGGAGTTTCTGTTATTCTAAGCATACCAAGCGGGTGACCGTGCTTACTGAGGTTCAACTTTGGCTGAACCGAGTTATTCATAGCGGAACAAACTTTTCGCCGGACTACTTACATTTTGGGAAACGAACCGAGAATGAATTAGTAAAAAATATTAATTTTCCTGACCCGGTATTCTGCGAATCGAATCGCGAAATAATGATCGAGTTAGCGCACAGGCGGTTATTAAGTCGTGCGGAAAAACGCCAACTTCGGCATGATAATAAAAGTAAGCCTCATAAGTTCGAAGTGGGAGACAAGGTGTTAGTACGGGCCCATCCAAAATCTTCTGCAGAATCTAAGGAAATAAAAAAATTATTTTTATTATTCGAAGGACCCTGTTCGATAGTAGCACTTAAAGGGCCTAATTCATATGAAATTGTAGATGACAAGACCGGAATTGGTCGTGGAGTGCAAAATGTTCATAATCTTAAACCCTATTATTCCTAAATTTATAGGTAGCTCAGACTGGCCGACTTAATTATTAGTAATAATGTTTTTTGTAGTTTGAGTTTAATATGTTCTGTTCTTTTTTTAAATGTACATGTTCATTCCGATTTAAAAGGGGGGTAAATGTAAGGTACCAATATTAATCAAACTGCACTCCATTCTTAGTCCGGCGGCCGTATAATTAAATAGTAAATATAAAAATGTGTATCTGGATTGTACTTTTAATTGTGGAGCCGACTGTCCGTCTGGCTTGAACGCGAAGTGCAGTGAGAGGGGTGGACAAGAGATCACCTGATGATCGGGAGATGCATTTTTTTGGCAGTGAGTGGCCGTTGAACTGTGACACAGTCAAGATAAGTCACACATAGTTCCGGTCTAACGTAATATTTTTAGTAGTCGGCATTTTTAATACGACAATTTTCTGTTGACAAGTATTAGGTCAAGGACCTAAATTATAAAATTGTTTTTGGTGTTGTGTTCTACGATAATATTATTAATAAACCTTAATGTTTTATTTCTTTTGTTTGATTGGGTAACCTTCTTCGGCTTCTACGAACCACCCTGAAGAATCAGCATATCTCGGCGCTCTACAAGAGATGCGAGTGATTCAATGCGAAGACGCATTAGAAACTGTATTCTTAACCCTTCGTATCTGTGCCTTCGTAATCTTCCTTTATAAATGCGAATGGCAACTTGGCAACCATGTATGATCGACGATTATTTATGTTAAATTATCTGCTAAAAAGGGGAGTCAAAATTCACACCGCTTGTTTTGTGACAATTATTCGTAAAAAAGAAGCAATATTAATATGAGTAATGGTTTTGAGCATAAGGTCGTGGTTTTGGGTTGTTTTTTGATGTAGATACTGTTTGGCTACACATAGTTTGCAACGTGATAAAATGGAAAATATTAGTAAAAAGACACATAATTAACCGAAACAATCTGATGAACGCTTGGTGAGAAAGTCTGAAAGGATCTTTCCTATCATCATAAACTCTTCGAAGATGATTATTGTCCTCTTCTAATTCGTAATAAGATATTTAAAAAAGTTATATTTGTCATCATACCTACAGGTCACGATCAGTTTATGAAATAAAACTAAAACACTTTGCAATATTAAAACGTGCATCCAGTTAGACCTTCGCAAGCTCTTTGGACCTTCGTATTTGAATGCGAAGAGCAAAAACCCACTCGCTGTCAAATGCGCACCCGCAATATAAATTCCAACGACCAAGAATAGCTACAACACGCTTTTGAGCAAATACGCATTCGCATTTAGTAAATGCGCATTCGCATTGATTAAAGCACCAGTCGAGGATAGGGGCCCTGGTACGCTCGGGAAAACGAAAAACTTTAACGGATACGACGGCAAACACTGTAGGAAACTCACTACGGTGGTCAGCCATCAAAGAGGGCAAATTTTTACTTGTCATCTTATTTATGCCTTTTCAGCAGGCAAGCTCGAAGCCTCGCAATTTGGAGTGAGAATACCACCACTACAGCCGATTGTTTACAATTTAAAAATAAAAAAATGTCCTACTAGTCTCTTGATAAATACAAGTAGATAATAATTGATACCAAATTGAATATACAAATGCCCATTCGGATTTCGGCAAATATGGAAATATTTTAACCTACGAGGGAAACACAAATCTTCTACATATCCTCCGGCGGGAATTAATTAAAATATACATTAATTAAAAATAAAATTTAGTGACTTCATCACAACGATTACAGATACCGGATACAAAATTTGAAAAATACCCGGTTACACCTTTCGGATACATATAAAGGTGCCCGGATACTGTATCAAGATATAGAAGTGTCCGGATACTGCTCAGGCTAGGTGTAATCAAAATTGCGGATTTTTTTACATTAAATCGTGTTAGGTATCAATTTTTTTTCTTTTTTTTCTTCTGACTTATATGCACTAGGGTGTGACCATATGTGTAGAGCATTTCGCTATATTGTACAAGATTTTCAAAGTTTATTCAGCATTTGATCTTCTACAGCAAACGCTCAGCTTAGTAAAACGCTGTATGTGTCCAGAAAAAAGCCATTATTGTCCAGCAATGTAATACTACATTATTTACCTACGTAATAAATAAGACAAAAACATACTACATGACTCTCTCTATCTTTTTGTAAACACCATGACTTTGAAAAACGATAACGACTGCGACTTGTTTTTCTTATGTTTCAAACTTTTGCGACCACTTTTGATTGCACACTTTATCACCATTTTAATACAATAATTGTTTATATTATTTAATTACAATAAAATTTGACTATTTTCGTCTATTGCAAAATTTCATCTACAATAATTATAAGTTCAGTCACTTTTCACAGTGTAGTTTTTAGATTTTTGGTTTTACCCTCTTATTAAAATATGGGTGAGCAATATATATAACTATATATCATTGTTATAGAAGCGCTATTTTAATTTTATACATTTTTAGGTACACTTTTTGTATACAGAAATAGTTCTCCTTACCTCTACACTCCATGTGTTATTCTAATCATTTATCGTTTTTGATACAGTAGATCTTTTGTTGGCAGAATTGCACCAACCTGCAAAGTTTCATCAATAATATCATTACCATTTATGTAAATAGTATATTACACACCGAGGTGGGAAGAGTTTCATTCCTGTCGTGAGATTAATTAGATCACCGAGACGCGAAGCGTCGAGGTTAGCTATGATCTCGAGACAGGAATAAAACTTCCTACCGAGGTTTGTATACTATTTTATTTACAACCATCATATTTCGATCAAAGTTAATAAATCTCTGTTTTGTTCTGAACATACCTACAATATTACATTTAACGACAAAAAATACCAAGCGCGCGGTTTTCTCAGAATAATCAAGTACGGGGTAAACAACTGTCACCAATATAAATAAATGTCAGATAAAGCCGGATATTAAATTCGCGAATAATAAATATCAATAAGTAATTTGTTATATTTTAGTTCATTGTTGTTTTTTATTGTTTGCCATTAAATTATATTATAAAATTTGTCAAAAAAATGTGTTATTTTTTTTAAATATAAAAAGTATTCATCTAGAATAGATAAAATGAGGGCGGGAAGTAGAGGTGTGTAATGTGACACTTCCCAACCTTTAATAACATTAGTAATGACAACATTACATATATGGTTGTGAATAAACATATTTTCCTGCTTCAATACTCTATGATAACCCTCTATATTAGTTTTACATAAATAATTTTAAATAGTAATAAACATTTGATTTTTTTTTCAGGTTTACGACTGGAAAAATAAAAGTGTTATTTTGTCGTCTTTCTTTTGGGGTTACATATGTTTGCAATTATTTGCAGCTGAATTCGGTAGACGCTATGGATCCAAACCTTTCCTTTTAGGAGCCATGACTATTAACTCTGCTGCAGTTTGTTTAGTTCCTTTGATGGCAGATAAATTAGGATCATACGGAGTAATGGGTTCTAGAATGGTACAGGGTATGTGCCAAGGTTTTGTATATCCCTCTGTTAGTAATTTACTGGGTAGATGGACTCACATTTCGGAAAGATCAAAATTGGGCAGTCTAACTTTAGCAGGTAAATTATTTTCCTTTAATAAAAGTGCAAAAATATAAAGTATTAATAAATTATATTATTTAACTTTTTAACTATAATTTTAAGGTGCTCCATTTGGTACTATAATTACGCTACCAGTTGTTGGATTTATATCTGCCTCCTCGCTTGGATGGCCTTTCAGTTTTTATCTGTATGGTGGCGTTGGTTTGTTGTGGGTGGGAATCTTTGCTATTTTTGGATACAGCACTCCGGCTCAGTGCAAGAACATTTCAAAAAAAGAAAAGGCTTACATTGAAAGTTCAACAAATATTAAAGGACAGAAGGTACCGATTTCTTCTTAACTAAATTTAGAAAATAAATGCTTTGTCATTTTAATTTTTGAAAAAATTTAGGAAAAAATTCCAGAATCATTGGTGTGATAGGAAATTAAAAAAAATCCGCTGCGAACAGGGCTCGGACACGGGTTTATCGTTCCAACGGCATAACCATTAGACCACCGGAACATTATACATCCAGCGACCTAATCGTTAATCGTAGTACAAGATTCGACCCCAGCTCGGTTTATCGGATCTTCTTCGAATTTTCCAACATCCCATTCGATTCTTGAAATTATTCCTGAACTCTTTCAGTTGTCAATTTTTGTTTTTATTGTTTTAGTTGGATGTGCCAGTTAAAGCCATTTTAACAAGTATACCATTTTGGGCATTGTTTCTTGCCCAAGTAGGGCAAATATGGGGATATAATACTCTTTTAACCGAAATTCCCAATTACATGAATAAAGTGATGAATTTCGACATGAAGTCAGTAAGTACCTATTGTCTTGATAAAAATTAAGACTGGCAATTTTAATTAAATCATTACCTACTATGGGTTCGTAATGCGAAAAATACCTCATGTGATTTTTTCAAAATGATTTTTATATTTTACTTCGTTTAAAATCAAAATGGCGTCATTATTTTATGTTGCATCTCGAATGTGGTCATCTTCGAAAGATATATAGGTATAGGTCAACCATTTAAAGTTTGCTACACCCTCGCGATTGCTCGTTAAATGTGCTGTCCTCTGTTTAAATGAAAACGATATTAGTTCCATTTTATTTTTAGACCCATATATTCTGTTCATACTTAATCTATCAGTAGTAAAGGTACTAAATATCCAGTGGGAAAATGGATCACATTTTCTTAGTCATGTAAGCTGTTTTCTTGGCTCTAAGAAAATACAATCCTTCTAATTGGCACCTTAGGGCTCGGAAGCATTTGGGCAGCAGTTTGTTAACGTGGTTTGCTCCACAACCTTTGATTTGGCCTCAAAAGGGCTCGGGCAGCTTATAGTGGACATGATAATAAAGAAATTCAAACGGTACGTGATTGCATTCTAGTTCAAAAAGATATTAATAGTATTTATCAGTGGAGTACAAAATTTAAATTGAACTTTAATGTAAAAAAATGTAGTGTTATTAGTATAACTAGACAAAAAGAACCTATTATTTTTAAATATGAAATGAATAATAGCGATCTGGCTCGACAAAATGTTATTAAAGATTTAGGTGTAACATATAATAATAAATTATCCTTTGGTATTCATATCGAAAACACGATGAAATCTGCAAATCGGGCTCTTGGCCTTTTAATAAGACAAACTACACTTTTTACGGATATAAATACCATAAAACGTTTATATTACACATTAGTAAGATCAAAATTAGAGTTTGTTCAATCATATGGATGAGTGAGTATCCAACTATTCTTCAAGGAATTGAAAAAATACAGAATAAATTTTTAAGGTATTTGTATTATAAAAAATATCACACTCGGCCTGATTTCAAAACCGTAAGATCAAGTGATTTAAGAACTGAATTCAAAATAATATCTTTAGAAAGTAGACGAAAATTACTATCAATTATATTTTTATATAAAATTATTAATAATCGAATAAATGCACCCAATTTATTATCACTTTTACCATTCAGTATTCCTACACGAACTACTCGAAATTTTAACATATTCTATATACCCTTCTTACCTAATATTCGATCTCCCATTGTGGACATACTTCGGATGGCGAACAATTTAAATTATCTCCATGATCTTGACTGGAATATATCTTTATATAAATTTCGCAATTTAATATTTCAATGTCTTATAAATATTTTCACCTAAATTATGTTTTGAGTTTGATCCCTTGCAATTCTGAAACCCGCTCACTCTGATATTTTATTTTCTTCTGATTATATGAATTAGTAAACTTTATCTGTATAAACTTATCCATGTAATTAGGCCTATAGGCCTGTTTGGGTAAATAAATAAATAAATAAATAAATAAATAAATAAATAAATAAATAAATAAATAAATAAATAAATAAATAAATAAATAAATAAATAAATAAATAAATAAATAAATAAATAAATAAATAAATAAATAAATAAATAAATAAATAAATAAATAAATAAATAAATAAATAAATAAATAAATAAATAAATAAATAAATAAATAAATAAATAAATAAATAAATAAATAAATAAATAAATAAATAAATAAATAAATAAATAAATAAATAAATAAATAAATAAATAAATAAATAAATAAATAAATAAATAAATAAATAAATAAATAAATAAATAAATAAATAAATAAATAAATAAATAAATAAATAAATAAATAAATAAATAAATAAATAAATAAATAAATAAATAAATAAATAAATAAATAAATAAATAAATAAATAAATAAATAAATAAATAAATAAATAAATAAATAAATAAATAAATAAATAAATAAATAAATAAATAAATAAATAAATAAATAAATAAATGACGGAAAAATTTCAGAGGTCTCGTTAATATCAGACTGTAACTTTAAGAGGGTAACAATAACGGGCTTTTATCGTTATATTGTCAGATAATGTCCGGAAGCTAAAAAAAAGTGAAAGGTCGGTACACAATTAAACATCTGTAATAATGAGCCAAGTTGTTAAAATTAATACATCTATTGCTTATGAAAGCTAATTATAAACAGTTAACAAACTAAACTAGTCACAACGAAATAGGTTTCGCTCGCTTATTTAAATTGTTATAACTCCAAAAAGAGAGGAGATCCTCAAGTTAAATTTTGTGTTCTTATAGTTTAAATATGTCTTTAAGAGGGTACAAGTTTTAATTTTTAAACATTATCATACATTTAATAAAGTTAAAGATAAAGCAAATTGATAACAACACCTGTTTATTAATATCCAAAAATTTCAAAATAAATAAAAACTAATAATGTATATCCCCTATCTGGCTCCTGAAACTTCGACACAACGTCTAGGCATAGATTCTATTAGTTGACGAATCGTTCCTTGAGGAATATTGTTCCATTCCTCCTGAAGTTGTACTGCTAACACCTGTAGATTATTTGGCTGTTCTCGATCCCGCAATCTTCTTCCCATGACGCTACAAAGATGTTCAATGGGGTTTAAGTCAGGGCTGTTGACTGGCCACTCCATTACAATAAGATTTTTCTCTTCAATAAAGTTTTGTACAATTCTTGCAGTGTGGGTCCTTGCATTATCTTGTTGTAAAACAAAATTAGGGCCTCCTAGAAGAGCCAGTGGAACGGCAATAGGTGCTAATATCTTATCGATATATCGCCTAGCTCTTAGAGTGCCATTTTCAAAAACGTAAGCGTGTACGCCCGTTCAATTGAATACCTCCCCAAACCTTTACAGAACCACCGCCAAAAGCTCTTACTTCTCTTACATTGCAATCCAAAAATCGTTCTCCACGGCGTCTATAGACTCTCACACGTCCATCGTTGGAGTAAAGGCAAAATCTTGATTCATCCATGAAAAGAACATAGCTCCATTGATGAATATCCCAATTTACATGTTCTGCTGCAAAGTTTCTTCTTGCTCTACGATGAGCTGGTGTTAAATAAGGAACAATAGCTTGACTTCTTGAGTGTAGTTGGGCTTCATTAAGTCTGTTACGTGTAGTCTGTAGATATATGCGTCTACCAGTGGCCTGAAAATGTAAGTTTCTTATCTGTGTAGCTGTTCTTGTCCTATTTTGTAGGGATAATCGTACAATTTGGCGTTCCTGTTGGGGCATAGTTATTCTTTCTCGTGGTGTATATGGTCTTCTACGGATAATACCTGTCTTGAAATCTATTTCACTTTCGGTGAATCGTTGGTTGACTTTTTTGAAGCAAGAGGGCTACGTATCTCTGCGAACGTCCTTCTTGTAATAGTGTAACGGCTAGGAATGTGCACGAGCTTGTACAGTTCGAGCGCTCGCGATCAAGCTCGAAAAATTGCAGCTCGAGCACGCTACAATGCAGCTCCGAACAATACGAGCGCATCGCGTACCGATACAGCTCGAGCGGCTTTAGCGGCTCAAGTCTCATGATCCGAGCGTTCCGTACTCTGAATAAATCATTCAACATTAAATTTAGTGGTGAAAAGTGATTAATGTGTTTCGGTCCCCGTAATATAAGTGTGATAAGAATAAGTTTTTAACTTCATTTACGTTTACAGTAAGTATATAGGATTTTCTTAATTCGAAAAAATTAAAATTATTTGATATTTCGAATAAGTAACCAGTCATAAACTCGGTCTTCTATCTAAGCAATGGAGTGCTCGAAAACATTATCACGCCTTGTACACGTGATCTCTCTGACGAGGCTACTTTTACAGAGTCACCCTAAGGGACGATCGAGGTTTTATTAATTTTATTAAATAATATGCAACTAGGTATGGAGAAATTACTCGATGATAAGTTCATTACGGAGAGTTCGAGGCTCGAGCCGATACGCGAAGCCCTCGAGCCGAATATTGTACAGGAGCCGCTCGGGCATCGGACTGGTCGTACTGTTCGGAGCTCCGCTGGAGCGTGCTCGAGCAATACAAGCAAGAACCGAGCCTGCTCGATCAACCTCGTGCACATCCCTAGTAACGGCTCTTACTACTTCAATTTCACTTTGATGCCTTCTTTGTACAATAGGCCTTCCAAAAACATCGTTATTCATAATTTTTAGTCAATTGTTAATGTTACAAACAATTTAATTAGTGTACAAAGTAAAACTGAATGTATCAGATACTTTTAATTTTTTGCGTATATATTTTTTTTCTCACCTCCTTATAAAAAAGTTTTGTTTTTTTATATTGAAAATATGCATTTAAGTGTGCTTGTTATTTGTATAAATTTTAATGGAAAATACGGGGGACATTTAAAAAGATTTAGATAATTAATTCAGTGATTCCTATTTCGTTGTGGCTAGTTTATTTTAAAGCCCACCCCCTTCACTGGTCTAAGAAAACCTAAACAAAAAGAAACTGTTTCGGAACGATAGCTTGGACGGGACGGTGTTCAATCAGACTTCAATAAATTATTATAGAAATTAAAATAAAATTGGGTACCTTACTATATCGGACTACGTCAGAGGTTTACTTATGGAAAGAGAATTTAAGAGGAAACTTAATTCATTATTAAATATTAAAAAAAAAATACTAATCGGTACCAGGTATCTAGTTCAGTATCTCAATTTAGAATTAAAATTTTTCCACCATTTAAAAAAAATAATAGAAAGTTTCCGCGGGTAACACCTAAATAACTGGTAATATCCTTACAGTCCACTCATAGAGGCTATTAACCAGGTTTAGATGTTATTTAACAGAAATATACGAGAACCACCCGGAGTTATCTAAATATATAAAAAACACTAACCCAACTCTGGCACCACTTAATTCAATAATTTGGTTTATTTTATTAATTAATTGATTCGTATTCAATATTGAGAAAATGAAAATAAAATATGTTTATTAAAAT